CCTCGGCCTCCGGCTGCCAGCGGGGCTGCCGCGGAGCCCGGTGAGGGGCGAGGGGCCGCACGGTCCGCGGGAGCTGCCGGCCTCTCTCTGCCCGCAACTTTGTTCCAACGCCGCGCACTCGTATAGGCTTTTTTTTTTTTTTTTAAATCTGTTGTTTAGTTGCTTAATGTTTCTAGGCACAAATTTATATGGGAAGCTTTGCTGGGGAGGGATTACCTCTCTGCATTTGCAAAGTGCTGTGATTAATGAGGATGTAAATAATGTTGGCAAACAAGCGATGTGCACGATGGTTTTTTTTTTCACTATTCTCAGTGTATCAGTGTGTTTCATGCGGTGGAACTTGTTGCAGTAGGAGCCAATGGCTTGCCTCAGGTCAGGCAGTGAGTTGTGAACCCTAAAAGGAGAATTTTTATGGTCTAATTTCTAAGTCTGGCAGTCTGTATTGCTAGTGCTGGACTTGGCAGCGTTAGCTTTACAGTTGGGCTCCGTGATCTTAAAGGTCTTTTCTAACTTGAGTGATTCTATACTGTTTTCAGGATGTACTTACTGTAGTTTTTGTGTGGGGCAGGCATGTTAGAGGGTGAATAAAGGAAAAGGGATGTTGAATAGTGGGACAAGCATGAGAAAGGGGAAACTAAACAAGTGCAACCTGCAGGAGCCCAACAGAAGTGTCGAGTTGTGAAAGTCCAGCATGTTTCTGGGATATCTGTATTTGCAGTGAGGATTCAAATCTGCCCAGTGGAGAGGGGGAGGAGATTGTGTTCTGTCATAACCTTCTGAAAGAGGTATCTGTTAAAACAGGACTTGAAAAGTCTGGCTGGAAAGCAAATGTAAATAGGCATCTGCGGCTGAGACTTGCAAGCACTGTTTTAATAAATAGTAATTTATTTGGACCTTGTATTTATGGTTTGAAAGGCATCAAAATAGCTGCTCTTCTTTCAGGAGATATGGTGCAGTTAACTATTTTAAGAATATAAGATACTATTCCACAGGTGAACGCTTTGGTACTTCTCTGCATATGTGTTTGTGTATCTTTTTTTGCAATTTGTTTAGAAAAAAGACTGGAAGAATGTCTAGTGTAGGGTGTAAGTGGGACCAGAACTTTTTCAACCTGTGCGCTGCTGTTCATCCACTGATCCCTTCCAGAATCCACTTAAAGGCTAAAACACATATTTAGAAAAGCTACATTGAAAACTATCAAAACTGAAGGTTACATGTTACCCTGGGTTGCACACTTAGATTCATGGCAGAGGCAGCCAAAACTAGGAAAAGATGAGTGAATGCTTGCCAAAACCCCAATTTTGGCAAATATTTCTATTTGTGTATTCAGCAGGAACACTAAAATATTCTGGTCAAACTCCAAGTCCAATCTTCAAAAAGTTTCCCTGCGTTTTTGGTTTGAAATAATGTCTTTTGATTCTTGTCCTAGCTTGTGTGCTCGTATTGGCTTCCCAGCTGCCAGTGGTTGAAGTTTGTAGGGTCTATTATAAAGCTACATCAAGAAATGTGGCAGCTCTCGGCTACCCTGTTGTTCTGCCCCTGAAACATAACACAAAACTTTGCTCAAGCTTGAGGCACCTTCCATTTTGTCTTCATCTTCAGCGTGGTGTTGCAGCTCTTGTGCTCTTCCACGGCATTATTTCTCTCGCTGAGCTCCCCAGGCTGGCTTGCTGCGGGGTGGAGTGAGCCCTGACAGTCACAGGGCAGCGCGGGCCTGCAGGGGAAGGGGCTTGGGGTTGTGGGTTTTGGTGGCAGCTGGCTGTAGACCTGCTTGTCCTGGCAAACTGCCCGGCGGTGGTCCCAGCACACCGGCGTCGGGTCATGGCGGCCGATGGTTTTGTGGCAGTTCTGTCCCCCCCGCCTCCTCACGCTCTCTGGCCCCTCAGGGCTGGTGCTCATGGGTAGTTCAGGGAGCTAAACCAGCAAAAACCCATCGTCATTATGGTGCTGATCTGGCTTTGTGCCACTTCAGTCCTCCTAACCAGGTATTTGGGAGTAGGTGTCCTCCAGTGCAAGGGAGGCGATGGGAATGCAGGGTGGGTGAGGAGAGCACTGAGGTAATATCGACTAGAATTAGCTTAATCTGTTGTAGCAGTTCAGTGTGAGCTGGAAGCGAGGAGGTAAGCAACAGAAGCGTGGCCTTTCTGTTTGATAAAGGACCTCGGGCGGGTATGGGGTAATGTGGATTCAGCGAGACTCAAGCTGTGCTTGCTCCTAGGTGTATAGGACTAGTAATTGGAGCAGAATTACAGTGTGCAGTAAGGAAAGGGTGCCCTGTGCAGGCAGCGCGTTCAGGGAGGAAGTCACTGTTGATAAACAACCTTTTTCTTATTTCCTGGCTCATTCAGTAAGTTTGCAGCTGCAGATGACTGTTAACTTGTGACTTTTCTTGGGACCGTGGCTGGGTGTCCCTGCAGTTACAGTAAAAAGCTTCACTAAGGTAAGAAGCTGATACTATATAGGGCACCAGTTTAAGGTAATAGAACACACAAAATTTTCAGATAAAGACACTTTATGTGTCTCTGTATAGTCTCAGAGACAGTGGTGGAGCAACCAAGCTGCAGAGTCACACCAATGGGACAGCGAGTCTAAAGAAAAGACAGGATTTATCTACTTTGCTGAAGCCTACAACAGGCAGATGATATCTGTAGTGGTAAACTCGAGTTTTAGGGCTTGTTTCCTGGCCCCAAGGCCATCTCACAGAGTCCAAGTGTATCCACGCTGCTGAATCTCCATCCTTCAGGCTGGCTGACGGCCCGCGGGCTGCCTTTGGCACGCTGGTCTGTGCTAATTCTTGAACTGTGCCGTAACCTGGTGCCCGGGCTCAGTTTGTAATCCTGCATGCAGACCTGTGCCAGGGACCCTGTGCTGGCCTGAGGGCGCTGAGAGCGGGCTGGTGCCTCTGCGGTGCCTGGCTGTGGCTGGGGGGGTCCAGCAGACATCAGAAAACTGCCTGATGCCTGTGAAGTTGGTGCAGGCAGATCAGAACAAATGTTCTGTAGTACTTGAGTTGGATTTGGGGTCAACGTTGTCACTGTAGTATCGAGCTGATGCTCTCAGTGGCTGTGGTTGAAGGGGGTAGGCGCCATGTTGCGTGTGGCAATGGGACTTTGGTTGGGCAGCAGAGAAGTTCTGCGCTTTGTTTTGACTTCTCAGGCCTCAGGTTTTTTTGCTGTTCCTCTGGCTTATGTTTAACACGGTCCTTGTGGTGCAGCTTTCCAAAGCGGATCGCAGCCAAATGCTCCGTGCCCCGTCCTGCTGCCGCCCTCTGCGCTGGGGCGCGATGGAGCAGGGTAGCCAGGGCTGTTGGGGTGCATCAGTGGTCCATGTTGGATCCAGACAAGAAGTCTTGTTGCTGGACAGAAGCCACAAACGGGCTGTCTTTGTGCTTTGTTTGCGTGGAGGAAAGCGTACGCTGTCACGTGCCAAGTCTGAAGAAATTTGGTGTTTGTTTTTCATGGGAAGTCCCCGTGTGTGACCGGACAAAACAGTTTTCTGCCGAGGCACAGGGTCTGTGAGCGTGGGCTGGAGGAGGTCTCTATCAATGCTCCTTGGCCAGGTCATCCAGGAACACGAAATGCTCTTTTATGCTCCCTGGTTGTGAGAGGGAGCTGCTGCAGCCCTGTTTTTTCCTGCGTGCTGATTTCCTGTTGGGTCAAACTGACTTTGTTGGCTTTGGAGGGTGGAAATCCAGCGTGAGAATGCCCCTGGGAGAGCAGGCAGAGCCTCGACGTGCCGCAGTGGGCGTCTCTGAAGGTGTAGATGTCCCGAGTGTAAGACCTGTCACCATGCTGGCGGTTGCTGTGCAGCCCTTGTGATGTGAACTCAGCTTCTCTCTTGATCTAGGGGTTTGCTTGCGTCACTTGTGTCAACCGAAGAATTAAAATGAAGAGATGTGCCATCTCTGACAGCGATAGCACAGAACGTAACGATCTGATCTGGCATTTGCGGGCCCATCTGCGATGGCGAACGGAAGATAATGCAGTAAGGTCAGAAGGCCAGATCAAGTAGAAAGGATATTTGTTGGGGAAGGAAATGGCATGGCATTGCGAGTTGATGATTTTTATTAAGGTGCGTTTTTCTGGAGGGCGATGACATAAGGAATGGGAAGGATGCTGTGTTCCTCTGCTTTCTGCTGAAGTGTTTGCAGAAGAGAAGGGTGGAAGGATGCAAATGGTAGAAGTTGCCCATGTGTCTGCAAGTACCTGAGTCCGTTTGCTCACCCGTATACACAAACTTGAATGTCTGCAGAGGCTCCCAGCCTGCTGCGAAAATATGCAGGAATTTGGAAGATTCTGTAAGCCATCAGTTTGACAGACTGATCAGTTATTTTTTGCTACTACGTATTTCTGCATAGCTTTCCAGGGTATAGCTCGGCAGAGCTGAATTGGATGTGCTGGCAGAGCTCGAGAGCAGCGCTTGGTTTAACTGGGTACAGAACGCACGTGATGTCTGAGACATGTTTCTTCATTTCACCAGCCCTTCAGAGGTCTGATTGCTCAATTGGAAAAAGTCTGGCGGGTGATTGGGAGCACAGCAGGCCCTTCCTGGTGAATTTGAGAACTGGCTTTTCACTTTTTGGCAAGGTACTGAACGAGGTAGCGCAGTGGAAGGTTAAATGATTAATCAGAGCTTGTGAAACGGGCTCATAGTTGAAGCTGGTCAGGGTTCTTGTATTTATTTTTAGGGGTGATTTGTTACTGTGGGTTTTTTTTTTTTTTTTGTGGTGATTTTTTTGTCCTTTGTTTTTTAATCCCCTAAGTATTATCACAGCTTCCTTCCCCATGCTCAGCCTGTGTCCAGGCACAAGACCTTTTGCCACTGAGGACAAGAAGCGGTGGCTGAGGTGGGTCTGTTGTGTCAAGTGCTGTCGCAGAGACTCTGCAGGAGGGTGTAGTGCAGTTGGTAGCCACCTCTCTGGTGACCAAGCCATTGTACGACGATGTCCTTCTGCCACGTGACGTGTCTACATGTCCACTAGCCAAGAAAATACCTTGGCAGTGTTTCTAGAGAAACAGACTCGTGGCTCCACAAAACTGAACAAAAGTTGGCACAAACTCTGTCACGTGTTAAGAGAACTGCAGTTTTCTTCTCTTCTTACTCATACACATCTTTTATTGACCGCAGCACTTGGGTATATTTTTTGCAATTCTTTTTTTTTTAAAGGATTTTACTGTAAAGTCAGCAGTTGCTCTGCAAATGTGAACTCTGTGTTAGCCCAGCGCGGATTGTATCCTCTGATACCTGCTCTTCTGGATGCTGGAACATCTGGTGAACTGAAAGTTGCTTTAAACTAATCTTGGGAATCAGTAAGAGACAAATGGAGGCTTAAAAAATTGGTTCTGGTATGGAAATAGAATTTGGAAAGGATGAGGTGGAAGAATAATCCACTTTAATTGCTGTAGCAAACCGGCATCTGTCCTTCTTCCAACCACAGTAATCCAGTTATTTGCCTGCCACTTCAAAAACTAATTTCCAAGTCGTAGCCTGTGCTCTTGCTAGGAACTTTAACCTCTTCAAGGTGTCAGAGTCCCTGTGAGTTACTGCACACACACATACCTGCTGCTTCGGACGTGCAGTTGTGCTTGCCCTGGCTGGAGCTGAGTAAACTCCTTGGCCAGTTTTGTAGCTGATCTATGGGGTTGACAACGCAAGGCTGCGCTGAGGTGGCGTTAATTTTATTAGCGGTAGTGCAACTTTATTAAAAGATACCTGAGGGGTTGGCTCTTGGCTTGAGGGCAGCGGAGTCTGTCTGTCCCAAGCCATCAGTGCCCTTGGTAAGGTCTCGGCATGGTGCTTCCTGCCCGCGGAGCAGGGTGGAGGCAGATGGGCGAGCAGGCGGCGCGGGAGAGGAAAGGCGAGCGGCAGCTACTGAAGGATCTCAAACATCTTTATTTCTATTCTTATTTAAAACAGTATATGCAGTTTAAGTATTAATTTTAATACAGAGCTTAGATATATCATAGAATGGGTTGTGGTAGAAGGGACCTCAAAGCCCCTCCAGTGCCCCCCCCCGCCCTGGGCAGGGCCACCTTCCCCCAGCCCAGGTTGCCCAAAGCCCCGTCCAACCTGGCCTTGAGCCCTTCCAGGGAGGGGGCAGCCACAGCTTCTCTGGGCAGCCTGTGCCAGGGCCTCACCCCCCTCACAGGGAACAATTGCTGCCTTAGATCTAGTCTGGATCTCCACCCTTTGACTTTAAAGCCATTACTCCTCGTCCTGTCCAGTTTAAAGCCATTACCCCGTGTCCTGTATGCTTTTGCTTGGTCTCTCTCATTAACTTTTGTTTTATCACAGAAAGATTTAATGATATAACGCAGACTTCCTTGAGGGAGCTTGTCTCTAAAGCTGCAAGAGCACTGAAGTGGCTTTTCTGCAAAAGTTGTGGTCTCCTTTCAAATCAGCTGAGAAATGTAGATGTGCAAGCACTTCTTGAGCTTTTTTTTTATGCAAGGCTTTTCCAAGCAAGAACGTTTATTTCCCTAGATGTGGCCTTCACAGCATCTGCAGCAGGTGGTTTCAGTGAACTTAACCATTGTAGTAGCCAGCGCATTGTGCAGTGTCCTAAAGGCATGGAAAAATCATCTTTTACTGGCCTGTAGTTGGATTCTGGGTATCATGTGGGCTGGCTTTATAAAGAGAGGGGAATTTAAATACTTTGTGCTTAAAACCAGTTTTTCACAGTCTGCGTTTCTGTGCACTGGGTGCTGTTTGCTTTAGCAAGTAACACAGAGCGGTAAAATCACCCCGGGAAGGGAAATGGGTGGTGGGGAGGAGCCCGTAGCGGTGCTGTGTCTGTTGCAGGGCTTCACGGCGGGGTAGCTCTGCTTTGACCCCCAGGGTGGGCTTGGGCTGTGTCTCTTGCACACTGGGCTGCAAGGTGCCTTCATCCGAAGGGAGTCCATTGTCTTCCTCACTAGGTGCTCTGGGGCCTGAGCCGAGGCACAGAAGTGGAGGCAGTTGAGGGCCGGCATCGCGAGTGCTCTCCCGACCAGGGTTAAAGCTGGAATAAGGTAGAGGCAGCCGGTGGGTGGCAGTGCCCAAACCACTGCTGATGGCGGTCCTGTGCCTTTTGCTTCAGTTCTGCCTGCGCCTCCATTGCCTACAATGTGTGTCAAAACACGCTAGAAGCAGACGCTTGATATATATTTTTTTTCCTCTATGATTGTTAGGTTTTCTGCTTATGTGGTTAGCTTGAACTGTTTGGCAGAGTAAAAATAGAGGGCCCGGAACAGCCAAGGCATTCGGTCTAATTCTTCCTGTGTCACTAAAACATCTCTGCCACAACAAGCTGTGGGATCTTCTCAGAGGTCTGGTCTGGATTCGTGTCCTGAATGAAGCAGCTTCAGTTGGACGTAATGAAAATACTTTCACTGTTATTGTGAAAGCCTTTCAAATAAAAAGCGAGCAATTGGATAATCACGGTGTTCTGCAGATGCTGTGAAACTGCTTCACGGACAAGTATAGCGGCACTGCTCTTGTGCAGCAGAGACAAAACTTTGGAGGACTAAGCGTGTGAGCTTATCACTTCATAGCTGTGGCAGTAAGATTACACATTTTTTTTTTAAATAAAAAGCCCCCAGTGCTGCAGCATTCACTCCGTTTCAGTGCCCAAGCCAAGGGGTGGCAGCTGCTGTCTGCCAGCCTCGCGTTGGGAGAGCGCGGGAGGAGATGGAAGCTGCAGAACTTGCTTTTGCAGGATGTTGTGGATGCTAAAAACCTGCACAGGCTTGTGGAAATGTGTTGCAGGTTACTAAATACCTGGAAGCTCCTTATTTTGGAAGTCCTGAGCAGCGTGGAGAGTGGGAGAGCAGCCCCCTGGAACGCTGCCTTGCCTGATAGCTGCCCAGAGCTCCATCAGGATCTGCCCAGGGCCCATGTCGATTGATCTTTATTTAGTTCAACTTCAGGCCCGGTTTCCTGCTTTTCTGTGTAAACAAAAGATTTTCCCGGTGTGCTGAAGGAACTGGCCAACATGTTTGCAAGTAGGGTTTGTTTGGTTTTTTGTTTTAATTGACCTTTAAAGGGCTGTGGTGACCGGGAAAGGCTTCTTGTGAGTAGAAGAGGGGAAAACGTCACACTCCTCTTCCACAGGGTGAGGAGGAGGATGTGGGGAAGCATGCCCGGTCATCCTTACTCGGATCCTTGGGGAGGAACAAACACTCCTGGGAGCTGCTTTCTTGTGCATGTCGAAGAATATTCTTCTGGGGACAGGCGGTGTGGCTGGACTAAAGGCGAGCTGTGCTGGACAGGGTGGCGAGGCCGTGGGCGCTCCAGTTTATTGTCCTTCCTCTGCGCTTAGGACCAAGGAGGACGGTGGCGTGTGCTGTGTTGCTAGGTGTGGTTTGGGTTGCTGTTCTCCCGCAGAAACGTCGCTGTGTTGTCTGTTGTAGCCCCAGTGTGACCTGGTTCAGTGCTTGTGTGGCTGTGACTATCGTATTCCCTGGCAGGGCAGGTGAGAGCCCTGCGAGGATAATTTTTTTTTTTTTTTGGAGCTGGGTATCTTTTAGATCCCGAAATGTAACCTAATTTTGTAACAGCTAAGTGTTGACTCTTGGAAAGAAGTATGTGGTGTGATTCTAAATGTGCCTGATAAACTTCCTGATTGCTCTCAAATTAGTGTGAATTTATTTGCCTGGTTAAAACCAGGTATATACCTATAGACTCTGCAGCTCCAGGAGGTGTGTGTGAAATTATTCAACCAGATGGGATACGTGCTTATGTGAGTTTAGTTTAAATTAAAAGAATTTGCTTTTTTTCCACTGAAGTGTGTGTGTGTGTGTGTGTATATATGTATATATATATAAACCAAACCACTAGTAAGAGGCTGAGGGTCTGTTTACCAGCGCTCGGGTAGGCTCAGTCTGCTTTTATCTTCAGGTAAACTTCACTGAAAGAACCCGAGAGCGTAAGAGAGCTCAGTCAAACTGGGGGCAACAGCTGTACCTGGCTGTAATGCTTTGATGTGAGCATAAATTTGGCCTCGC